TAACCATACAACTTAAATTAAAAATGTTAAGATGAATTTTTTTATAAGCATCAATAAATTGCGCTATTATAACATAAATAATTAGTTATTACATCTTTTGAATAACCGGTCAATAATAAATGAGCAAGCACCCTATAAAAATCAATCTTAACCTTTAACAAGGATAAACACATCCACCTACTAAACAAGATTATGCTTGGTCAGTTATTGTTGTAATGAGTTTTAGTGATTCTTAATCGATCATTCTCTTTAACTTGACATTTTTGATCAGCGTTCTATTTTTCTAATTTTTTTTGTTTCCTCCTCTCTATTGTTTTTTTAATGTGAATTGAAATTGGACCTTGATATTTGAAATGGTAATAAACTAGGGTTTGAACTTAGAAATTGAAATTAAAATGCAAGGATTATAAATTAATTTTTTAAATTATTTCAAATAAAAAATTATTTAATTTTACTATATATTGTAATTTGTCTATTAGAATTATATGTTTAATTAAATTATTCGAACAACTAGTTTTTAACAATTTATATGTGATCAATCAAAGTATTCTTATATCTAAGTTTTAATAAAGTTGTGGCAAATAATTTTTTTTTTAAAACTATTTTTATTAAGTTTGTTTATTGAATGAATACTTCTAGTCCTAATAAGTTGATTGTCAAAAACTCAATGATAAATTATTGAGTTTGTGCTCAAATAAATAAATAAATAAAGTCTGAGTCAAATAAAACATATTAATTTAAAATTAATAATGGGTAAATTTTATATAAAAAAATAATATTTAAATACTTCTAGGTTGCCCCTACAATAAATATTTTTGGCTCTATCCCGGTTATTTTTCATTCTTTTAATTTTTCTATCTGTCTTATTAAACACATCATAAATATTAATTAAATTCTAACCACTAACTAATCCATCAAAAAAATCTGGAAGTTAAAATCAAGCGGAGGAGAAGGAAAGAGAGGAGGGGGGGGTATGGTATGATTGAGTAAGGAACGTGGCGGTGTCCGAAGAATTCAAAAGAGTTGAGAAGAGAAATATAAGTGGAAAAGAGTTGTGTTGTTTGGTTTCAAGGGTTGCGGCTCTCAGTGCTTCAGTCTAGGAAGCCCAACCATGCTTTTAGTATTTGCTTTGTGGAATGTACACGTGGAACCTCCTTAACACTTCTCTCACTTGGGACCACCTCGGTGGCTTCATTAAAAGGCACGCGGACTACAAAGATTCCCGCCGCCGTCTCTCTCTCTCTCTCCATCTGTATCCTCGTCCATATCTATCTCTACTATTCCATCACGTTTTCATCAACTTTTTTTTCTCCTCCCTTGTTTAGTGTGAACTCTCACTCTCATTTATTTTTCTTTCTCATTTTTCATTGGTCTCCAAGAAAATAAATATATAAAAATACATAAAATGAATTTATAATAAATAAATAACACGAGATTAAATAGTAAAAGCAAGATATTCTTATACCTCACCCACTTTGTCCACAACTAGCCAACAACGATCAAAATGAAATTTAATAATAGGGCAATCTCATCACACAACAACATGATAAGATCATACATACATGCATACATAGATACATACTATTAATGGATGATTTTCAAACACGGACGTCATAGAATTTTAAACACAAGCCCACGTCTGTAAAATCATTGCTGGGGTTCCCTTTTTTTAATTTAATCTACAACTTGGACAAACCTCTTTTAATCTGGTTCTGGCCCCATAGGCTACGTCTCAAAAATTCCATAGCCTTGGAAAGAAGATCACAATAATAACCAATAACAATAATAACAAATAAAAAATAAAAAAAAAAGATAGTGGATCCAATTATTCACATCTTCTACATTTTTTAATACTAACTTTTAACAAGCTTCTATAATGCCATCCGTAGTTAAAAGAAACGGTACACACAAGTCATTTTCAATGAATGAGATTTCCAAAAAGAAAAAAAACAATTCAAATCACAATTTTTGCCCCTCCCCAAGAGAAAAATAGGAAAACATAAACCAAAGTACAAACATATGCATCCACAATTTCGATCTGTCCTTCCCCACTACTTTCTATGTGTATCCTAAATTTAGATTTTAATCTCTCTCTCTCCCAAAGATCTCTCTAAAATTGAATTTCTGCTCTTGATTTGCTGTCATTTTTTCAAACATTGTTGTTGAATTGCTGCTGTAAGAACCAAATGTCCTCGGCATTCCACAGATTGTCCGACAGGTCCCCACCATCCATCCACCGGTTGTTCTGCTCTGTGGCTTGGAAGTCCAACCCTTGATTAAAGTAAACATTCGGACTAATTAAAGATTCCCCGTAGCACAGCTGATTTGCTGGGAAATAATCCTGATTATTGCCTTGCTTAACTGGATAATTGTAACAGTCCGTCAGGTCTGAAACCGGTGAAACTTGTGTCCCAACTGAGTCCGATGAGGCCACCGTGCTACAATTCTCCGATGTGAAGCTACCGTTTACCGGGACACTTCCTAAGCAGCCACCAATATTGGCATGCGGCAACACCACGTCGCCTGATCCAATATCAAAGTTATTTTGGTTCTGGTTGTAGTTGTGGTTGTAATTGTTATCGTTGTAGTAATGATAGGTGTCGGAGTTTGTGTTCGTAGTGGAGATGGTGGCGGTGGCGGCTGTGGTGGTGGTGGATGAGGAGGAGGAAACTCCATTAGCTGTGGCAGCTGCCTGAATTCTTTCTACAAGCCTTGGCATCCAAAGATAACGCATGGTGTCCTTAAATTGCTTGCTGTTCACGTCACATTTGAGCTGTTTCGCATGCTTTTGCACTCGGGTTCTCCAGTAGTTCTTGATCTCATTATCAGTTCTTCCCGGCAATTGTTGAGCAATTTTAGACCACCTGTAATTAATTAGAAAAAAATTAGTTTCCATAATATCTATCTGTAGAAATTCATATGCACATACGATATGTCCTTCAAATATATGTAAGTGGAGAGAGAGAGCGAGAGAGAGAGACATACCGATTTCCCCATCGGGAATGAAGTTCGAGGATCAGAAGTTGTTCTTCAAGGGTGATGTTTCCACGTCGAACATCGGGGCGTAGATAGTTCAGCCATCTTAATCTGCAGCTTTTTCCAGTTCGGTTCAGACCTATTACATTTAATTTGTTTCATAGACGTTGTTAGAGAAAACCCATCAGTAATTTTGGTAAAGTTTGTGGGAAGTTTATGAAAACGAAAAATGGAATAAAATTAAGGATCAATCTCTCTTTTGCTTTTTTTTTCTGGGTACTTGCTATACTTTTTAGTTATCAAACTTTATGGATGAGTTCTTTGCTTTTTCAGATGATTTTTGTACGGCCATATCAGATTTTTATGGCCATATATATCTCTATGCCATCAAAACCTGCTTTTGTTAACAAAAGAAAATGAAGCTTTGATTCTGTTTATCGTCATACAGAGAATTAGCAATTTGAACTATTCAATTAAGCAAAGCCCATTCTCCATCAAATCAAGACAAGAAGGAAGGGACATATACTTGTTTATTTGCTGATTCCTAAATTTTATTATATGAATTTGAAATGGGTGTTGAGAGTGTGTTTGTATTTACCTGCACAACGAGCGAGAGAGTTCCAGCGACCTTCACCGTGGTGAGCAACGTAGTTGATAAGGGTAAGGTCTTCTTCCACCGTCCAAGGACCTCTCCTCAGGTCCAAGTCCATCTCCTCGTCACTTTGTACGGAAGAATTGCAGGTTACAGCTCTACCCTTAACATCATCCATTCCGGTAAATGGAGAGACTAGACTGATTGATTGACACAAAAAGGTTTTGATCGATGAGATAAATTTTTAGAGAGAGAAAAAAAGAGGGGAGATGTAGAGAGAGATTGGATTAATGCAAGAGGATAGAGAAGGTGGGGCTTTATATAGAGTGATGGATAGGTTTGAAAATAGTGGAAAAGGTGGGCGTGTGAGAGAAGCAGCATAACGCGCAATAGGGACTGGGTTCAAAATAATTATAGTTAATTAACACTTAAGCCCTGTGGTCGATTATAATTATAAGGAAAATGCTAGTGGCTTTTGAAGTTTGACACTTTGACTTTGTGCAATCTCTGTGTTCGAGGAGATTAGCAGTTCCGTGGAAATGGTTCAATTAAGTTGCCGTTTTACTCCTTTTTAAGTTTCTTATTGGCCTGATCAAAAATAAATAAATAAATAAAAAAGTTTCTTATTGGACTTGCCGAATAAAAAAATTTCTGTTTGGCATTTTTGACTTTCTTGCCTTGGTGTGTTCTCTCAGGCCAACCAAACACAAGAATGTTTTCATTCCTACTTCAAACAAAAATTGGCTAGCTATAATCGTAGGTATATGAGACTTTTGAGACAATTTTTTTTGTTAACACTGTGTTCACCGTCACAAAAAAATTATGTCCCCAAGAAAATAAAAATTTCTATGGTGATAATGCTGCCATAAAAAAGTTTTTTGTTATTTTGTACATACTATTTTAGAGGGATTATTGTCGCCATAAAAGTTTTTTGAGACTCAATTTATTATGCAACAAATAAGCTTTTTGTAAAAGCACTATCACCAGAAAAAATATTTTTTATTCAAAAGCACGTTTTTTTTTGGGTGACAATGAACATAGCTGTCATACAGAATTTCTCTCGAAAGGCCGTAATTTTTGTAGTGTTAATCTAATATGTGGAGATGGATTCAATGTGATCCTCTCCCAGGGAAATTCCTTGTTACGAGAAAAATATAAAAGACAAAAACTTGAGGACTTTTTAACATATGTTCGATAAAAAAAAATTTTAATGTTCCGTTTAATACGATGAAAAATGAAATGACGGAAAGTTAGAAGGATGAAAAATTAGAGGGATAGATAAAACATTATGTTTGGTAAGAAAAAAAAATAGGAATGATGGAAAAGTTAATGAATGAAATTTTCTTCTAACTCACCAAAATCAATCCCTCCAAAATTGAAAAAAAAATGAATAAAAAATTAATTATTAGTGTTAAAATATATCTTATTTGTGTATATATTTTTTAATATTTACATACATTATATTTATTAATTATATATTATATATTCATTAATTTCATATATAAATACAATGGTAAAATATGTATTTATATTTTTTTTTAAATAAAAATAAAAAATAAAAAATATATTTTTTTCTATCTTACCAAGCACAAAAAAATTAATCATTTTTACTTTTCATCCATCTTACTAAACACAAAATAAGAAAAATGTATCAATCCTACTTTTTTTCCTTAAATGATAAAAAGTGTATCCTTTCTACTTTTCATCATTTCTATCAAACGAAGCATGACACATTTTGGCAAGCGAATAGAAATTTACTTTTGAACATGAAAATGTCACCAATTTTTAGTCACTGTTTTGAATCACGATGTTTTGAATCACCATCCACTTATACAGCACACTTGCAGTCATTCCAGACTTTTTAAAGCTCTGGCTCCATGGATAGGGTCAGTAATCAACAACGCCAAAAAGCTGGTGGGAACAGGTCATACAGTTAACTTCTGGTGTGATAATTGGCTTAGAATAGGGTCGTTAATACTAAGGAATTCTACGCAGCCTAGTTAGTTTCCTATGCTATCAAACTTGTTGGTAAATGGTAGTTGGAACTTAAAAGGAGTTTTCGGAATGCTTAGATGACAATCTACTGCAAGAAATTGTTTCTTCATCTATTCTGCTATCCTCTGAGGAGGATAAGTTGATCTGGCAGCTCACTCCTACTGGGGAATTTTCTCTAAAAACTGCTTGGGATCTAGTTCGTACTGTTGGGCCAGTTCAGATGTATTATTCAACTTTATGGAAAAAAGTTTCTCCTCCTAGTGCTATTTTGCATGGATGGAAGCTATGGAAGGACATTCTCCCCCATGGACTCTACTTTTCAGAGGAGGGGTGTGGCTTTGGCCAGCAGGTGTGCATTGTGTGCAAAGGAAGCGGAGACATTGGTCCTTGTGTTTATTAATTGTTCCTATGCCAGAGAAGTGCGGGGTTATGTCTCCAGATTTTTTGGTTTTCACTTGATTGAGAATGAAGGTCCTATCACAAGATTTCTACGACTCCTAAGAATATTCAGGCTCTCTTCTATGAGTCATGTTTTGACTAGAGGTATTTCACTATTGGTTTTTTGGCAACTATGGAGGGAAATATGTAGAAGAGTTTTTGAGAATCACAAGCTTCACCCTTCTGTTTTATTTAAAGCTATTCTTTAGTTTTGTCATATGCAAGCATACAATGTTAAGCCCAAACACATGGACTCAGAATCAGGGAAAGCCCTTCTACTCTGTCTTAATATCAATTCTATCTCTCATGTGACAATAAAAGGTGAAATGGGTCTCTTGGCTATATCCACCAGAAGGTAGATTGAAATTAAATATTGACGGAGCTTCCAAAGGAAACCCAAGTTTTTCTGGGGGTGGGGTGATCATACGCAATCATTGGGGTCAGTTTGTTCTAGCAGGTTCTTACTCCTATGGTAGATGTACAAATATGAAAGCTGAGATGCATTCTTTACCGGATGGTCTTTCCCTCATCCATAATTATGGCTTAGAGGTCTATCCTTGGGTAATTGAGACCGACTCTTAGGTCTTGTTGGACATGATTACCAAAAAATCTTCGCCATCCTGGCATTTGTGGACATTCATGAATCAAATATTTTCCCTTACACAACCTATGGACTTTTAAATACAACATATTTATCGAGAAGGAAACTCGATTGCAGACGTTCTAGCAAATCAAGGGGTTCTGAGTCAAGCCCCTCGTTTATACTCGAATCAAGGAGACTTGCCTCTGCAAATCAGGCTTTTATTGCAGCATGACCAGCGTGGGATCAAGGCAATTCGTAAGAGGTTCTCTGCATTGTCCTAAACCATCTGGACTCTACAGCTAATTGCATGTTCACAAAATAATTTATAACAACATAAATCTCAAGCTTGGATGAGCAAGACAAACCCCTGTTTCGAAGTCAGGATGCTGGATTTGGTGAAAAAAATAATAATAATAAATAAATAAATAAATTTTGGCAAAAAATATATATATATATATATAAGAATAAATTAATTATATTAATGTCCTACCTACCTCTAAACAGTAATACAGTTTAGTAAAGAAGACCGATGTCGTATACTCTTACTCCTGTGGACAATTTGTGAGAATCACATGTAACTATCAGAGGACCTGCCATCTCCTTTTACCTACCATTGTTTGCTTTATCATTGGTTTTGACAGTATAAAGATGGTATACACTGTATACATACATGCACTCTTTTATTAATGAAATTATCTTATTTGCATAAAAAAAAAAACTTGTAAGGCTATCATACTTGTGGAATTTAATATTTACTCAAATCACAGCTATTTGGCCGCCTGCCAAAAAAGTAGCCCACCTGACAATATAGTTCAAGGCATGTCTAAAAACTCGTTAAGATATACCCTCGAAAGAAAAAATAATCTGATCATGACCTTAAACCCTATGTAATTATCCCTCTCAGTCTCACCTCACCTTGCCCGGCCCTTGCCAAGACTTGAGAGGGCATGACATGGTTGCCTCTTAGGTTTAGGATGAGTCTAGGCTTATGCTATTTTGTATCTGCTTATAAATAATATCCCATTAATCGTACAGGCTGCTGAACATGCAGAAAGTAAAGGACATGATGAGATGCGAGCTAACTCTACTGTACAAATAATCAATGTTCCCAACTTTAGAATAATTGGAAGAGAAAATGAGACTTTCCTTCCTTTCTATTCATCACACTCCTTTATAATTATTTTTTTTTTATTATTTTGGGTTAGTTCCTTCCTTCTCTTTCTTTTTGTCTGGTGTTAGGACTGATTCTTTCTTTTCCTTCTATTCTTTCCCTAACTCTTAATCATACACTAGAGAGTTCTAATCTCACCTTCACAGTTGGATGGGTTAACAAAGGATGCAGGATAGACCTTGTTAAATGAGAAGAGCATGTGGTGACCTGGTTTCCTGTTTACTGTACTTTCTTTATTCTTTAGTATCAAAAACCTAAACGAGAGGGACCAATCAAATGAGCCTCAAACTCAAAGTAATAAAAAAAATTAGTAATGCTATTGGGACATAATTGAAGGACATAATAAGTTATCACCAACAATTAATGATGAATTCCATTACTGCATTAAATGCATTCTATTATCATTTCATTATGATAACTTATTATATCTTTAAATTATGTCTCAATTGCATTCCTCAAAAAAATTGGAGCTAGTCCTCTTGCTCCCAACAGTGAGCTCTACACATAAAAGACAATTATAATCTTATAACCTTAAAAAGACAATTGTACATGAGGATATTTGTGTCATTTTAGTTTCTTATACCATCTTTTCACTTGTATCGGGAAGATAATACCACCTACTAGGTGGTATTCAATAGTACCGTATACAAGGTATTTAAATCACTATTCATGTCGGGTCGGTATTACGATCCGAAAAATAATACCAATGATAAAATGTTAAACAAACAAGGTATAAGATGGACCCTACGTACTGTTTCTCTAATATCATCCATTTGTACCACTCTAATACTTCAAACAAATAACCCCTTAATATATTTACAGTACAATATAAAAAATTTAATTTTTAAAGATATAAAATAAAAAATTATAAATCTTTCAAAAGACAAAGTGCAATTCGTCCCCAAAAATTAATACGTTTACCTCTTTCTTTTTTTTTTTTTTACATTTTTTTGGGCGCGCAGACATATATTATTTGGTCGTGTCAGAATAA